TACTCCTACTAGTTATTACTATTTATAACCGCTGATCAGCGACAATTTTTAAATGTATTAATTACACTTACCGATATATTAAAGTATTATTGAACGAAATAAAAACAGTTCTAATAATTTTCTATGGCTTTTAACAACAAAGAAGCACCCGCATCAATGGCTTTTTACCAATCCAACTATTTTGTTCCTTCTTTCTCTTCTTCAAGTCACTATAATAATTCTCTAACTTAATTTATATTTAATATATATTAAGAATAACAATCCAAAAATATATAATAAATAAACAGTAAAATCGATGTGATTTGTAAATAAAACAAAAAATACTCATCCCTATAACTTATAAATAGGACCAGAAAAATATGAGAGATATTTAAACATAATATTACTAATATATAATAGAAGTTGCATCTTAATGATCCAAATAGGACAAAATAATTCGGTGGGACAGTGATTAATAGAATATAAGTTTGCGTCCGTTTGACCTTTGGCAAGTCTAATACCAGCCAATATATAACTTTTTTTTTGGGCCGAAGCCAATATATTATATATATATATATATTTTTTACGACGGAGCTTGGGCGGCATGCACACACACACACATATATATAAAGAGACGTAGCGAAAAAGAACTATGATCTGTCTCGTATATACTTATTTAAGGGAGCACCTGAAAATTAAACACTTGCGTTATCAGGAAGAAGAAAAGGAAAAATTTTCATCATGTTTCTTGGAACCACCATGTCTCTCTCGCACCATCGCTTGCCTCCTTCGGCTTCTCCTGGTTTCATCTCTCTCCCTCTCAGTCTCTCTCTCACACACACTCTGCAGATAATTGAGTTTGGTATTTGGGTTATTGAGATCATTAGTTTCCTCGCTACTTATGGTTTATATCTTAAACATCAATGGGAGAGGAGTTATAACCTCGAAAAGTGATGTTCGGCAGATTTTTTCCCCCCCTTTTTAGAAGTCAAGGACTTGCTATAGTAGCTGTTACAAAAAGTGAGAAATTTTCATCTCAAATTCTTTGTGTTAAAAAATAAAATTTAAAGCATGTTTTGTAGATTTTGTATAAGATTAACGGTGTTAGAATTAAGAGATTAAAAGTACATTTTATTAACTTGAAGGATTAAATTGAAATTTGACATAAATTTGGAAGACAAAAATGTATATTTTAGCTTTTATAAAAACTTGTATTATTATTTTATTCAAATCAAATCAGTGAAAATGAAATTTTTTACGTGTTATTTATTTTATAACTTACATTATTTTGGTCAAAGACCCTTTATTTTTTAATCTTGCTCATCTGAAATAAATTGAGAGTACTTTGAATCATTTTAATCTCTCGGAGTGAGGTCTCTGGCACTAATTATAACTCATTTTTAGTATTAATATTATTAGATTACTTTTATTTGGTTGAACTTCTACATTTATGTTAAAAGTATATTAAATTGAACAAGTCATCAATACATATCATGTGTGTGTAATTAATTATATGATTTTGACATAGCGTTAGAAATTACTTATAAGCATATTTCACATAAGTCAAGATAAAACTTCTCTCATATATTTATCTCGTATTCTAAACAAGTTCTAAGAAAATCTAACGTCTTTCTCTATTCTCATATCTCCCAGCATCTCCGATTGGATCGATTGTGAAGGGCAAAGTTGGGAACAGAACTAACATTATCGTAAAATATCAACCTTCCATCTTTTGTATTTATGAACATCTAGCTAATTCCAATATCCGATTAATTTTCCTTTATAAAAATAATAATAAGATGGTGAATTGTATTAAATGCAGGTATTAGAGGAGAATAACAAGGAGAGAATAAGGAAGATGTTTGATAAGGTTGAACTCTCTGTCTCTTCTTATGACACAGCTTGGCTGGCAATGATACCATCACCTTCTTCTCCACAAGCTCCTCTGTTCCCTCAGACCCTAAATTGGTTATTAGGAAATCAACACATTGACGGATCATGGGGTCTTTCTAGTGATAATAAGTTGCTGACCAAAGACACTCTTTTATCTACTTTGACTTGTGTTCTTGCACTTAAGCAATGGGGTGTTGGTGAACAGCAAGTCAATAGAGGTAAATTGATATGATTTTGAATCTTATTATAATTAAATTCATTGGTGTTATTTTGAAGAAGCATACATATATATATATATATAATGAAATAATTGGGAGATTCCCTTTTTATTATTGTTGAAGGACTTGGATATATTGAAACAAACATTGCTGCAACTGATGATGATAAACAAGTTTCTTCAATTGGATTTGATATTATCTTTGCTCAATTAATTGAGCAAGCCCAAAGTCTGGGTCTAAATGTTCCTCTTGGAGGGAATATTTTAGAAAAATTCATCCAAAAGAGGGACTTGGAGCTCCAAAGGTACCACTTTTTTTTTCCCCCTCATCTTCATAAAACATTTAGGGAAGAGTTATTCATGCATGGTTCACATACAGATAGCAATCATTTACCCCAATCTCGTAACAATATTCACAAGCCATAAATAACTAAACTTCACATCATATTGAAGAATATTCTGGAAGATATTAGCTTGAGCTCTTTTGTGTATGGAAATTAACTACAGTGGATGGGGAAGCAACTCAGAAGGATGGAAGGCTTATATGGCATACATTTCAGAAGGATTTGGGAAGTCACAGGATTGGGAAATGGCTTTTAAATTTCAAAGAAAGAATGGCTCTCTTTTTAACTCTCCAGCCGCCACTGCAGCTGCATACACTCATATCAACAATCCCCACTGTCTTGATTATCTACTTTCACTGCTGGCAAAATTTGACAATGCTGGTTTGTTCTTTCAAACCTTACTGTTTTGATGGATTTATCTTCATTTCCATTACGTTAATCTTTGGGTTTTACACCAAAACTTGTTCGTTCAGTTCCAACAATACATCCTATTGATGTGTATGCTCGACTCCATATGGTTGATACTCTTGAAAAGCTTGGGATTGGTCGCCATTTTAAAAATGAAATTGGAAGTGTATTGGATTATACATGGAGGTAATATTAAAACTTGAAAATGAAATTATAGCTTTTGTCGTGGGAAGAACAAAGACCACATAATGTAATTAATCTCTTTTTATTATTATTTTATGTTTGATTTTCAAACAGGTTGTGGCAGCGGGAAGAAGATGACATATTTTTAGAACCCACCACCTGTGCCCTGGCATTTCGCTTACTACGTTTGCATGGATATGATGTTTTCTCAGGTTTTAATTTGCGTCTTTATATTAAGACAAATTCTGTGTAGCCAATAGAGGATTATTAAAAAGAAATTAAAGTCTAACTATGATATTTGTGTATTTCAGATGCACTTGATCGGTTTTCAGAAGACAAATTTCGCAATACTCTTCAAGGTTATTTGAAGGATGTTGAGTCTGTTTTGGAGTTACATAAAGCTTCACAGATAGTTTTAGATGCAAATGATTCAGTTTTGGAGGAATTAAACATCTGGACAAGGCATTTTCTTAAGGAATATTTGTCCGCTTCCTCAAACAATACTCATAAACCACCTTCTAATCATATTGATCATGAGGTATATATACACATAGTAGTCCCAAATTTAATTTTGATTCTCAACTTTTCTGCAATTCTGAAGTTTGATCCATCTCAATAATGTACTCCATACTAAAAAAAAGGAAAAAAAAACTATTAATTTCAGGTACCTTTTGCTTTACGTTTCCCTCATCATGCTTATTTGGATTTGATGTTAAACCGAAGATCCCTACAACACTACAAGGTGGACCAAAAGAGAATTTTGAAATCTTCATATAGGTACATCATATATCTATAATCTATATATATATATATTTATAATCACAGCTTACTCCATTTTTCCTCGATGCCATCCACATGGGAGCTTGTTGATTTACATAGATTAATTTATTACTTGGTACATATTCTCCTTGGCTCTTCTTCTTCATCTTCTTCTTCAGTTCTTTAAACCTCGCCAACAAAGAATTCTTGGAACTAGGAGTTGAAAACTTCAATCGCTGCCAATTAATATTTCGTGAAGAACTTGAGCTATTTAACAGGTGAGTATCTTTTTCATGGCCACTAGAATGTGTGTGCGTGTTTTGGTTTCCTCTCCTAACAAATAACCAACCTTCTAGTGTTAATCTTAATTAATTGGTAATCCAAGAATAATCACTGATCAACGTATCATACATCATAATAATCAGGTGGTTTAAGACGAGTGGAATGGATAGGCTACATTTTCCAATTGCCAAAACAACAGTTATGTATTCCTTCTTGTCAGTGGCAGCAACACTTCCTCCTCCAGAACTTCGTGAAGCACGTTTAGCTTGGGCAAAGCATGGATTGCTCACATCTGTGTTTGATAGTTTCTTCGATGTTTGGAGCACTAAAGAGGAACAACAAAACCTTATAAAGTTAATGGAGAAGTATGCATAATATAGTACATACGTCTAAATTTCTCTCTCAGCATTAATAAGTGTGTGTGTGTGTGTGTGTAAGATTGTGTTTTGAAATATTATTAATTAATGAAACACACAGGTGGGATGTAGATGTCAACAAAGAATGCTGTTCTGAGCCGGTGAAGATATTATTCTTAGTGCTTAAGAGAACAATTAGTGAGACTGCAGCCCAAGCCTTTAAGGTTCAAGACCGTAGTGTCCTGAACCACTTAATTCAGCAGGTAAGAAAAAGGTCTACCTATCTTTATTTTTCTTCATTGATTTCCTCATCCATAAACTAAAATCGTATGTCGACTTCAACCTTTTTTTTGTGTGTTTTCAGTGGGTGGATATTCTACGATCTGGGTTGAAGGAAGTAGAATGGTGCAAAAAGAAATGCGTGCCGAGCATAGAAGAATATGAGCGTAATGGAATTATAACAATGGCCTTGGGACCAATTGTCTTGTCAGCTATGTATCTAATTGGACCTAAGCTTCCACAAGCCGTGGCTGAAAGTGCAGAATGCAATTATGTTTTAGACGTTCTTGGCCTCCATGGGAGATACCTCAACGACGTGAATGGCTACCAGGTGAGATAGATGAGTCGATCAAACTCAGTTTTCATGTGAATGTTGTAGAAAGAATGATATAAGATTTGGATGTGTGTGTGGTTTTTTGTGTGCAGAGGGAGAAAGAACAAGGGAAACTGGTGAACTCAGTAGGGTTGAGGTTGATTAGTGGGAGTGAAGAAGAAGAAGAAGAGATGAAGAAGAAGATAAAGAAGAAGGGTGAAGAGAAAAGGAAAGAGCTTCTGAGATTAATGGTAAAGAAAGGAGGAATCATAGCATCTACTGATGTGAGAGAGGTGTTTTGGAAAATGTGCAGAACTCTTGAGGTGATTTATGGGAAGGATGATATAATTTATTCAACAGAAGTGCCTGATGAGGTGCGAAATATCGAAGATATTGTACTTACAAATCCCATCGTTTTAGGTTGTTAATTCCAGGCTGGGCTCACTATAATTCTTTTTGGGCCATGAATAAAAGTGTTGGGCCTATCATAAGACATTCGTGTGTTTGGGATCCCATATCAATACTACTGCTTCCTTCCGGTTTTAATTATAAGGTCTTATTTATAATTTATAAATAAGGTCTTATAATTAGAAGTTGAGGTACATAAGGTCTTATAATTAGAAGTTGAGGTAGTGCTTTGCAATTAGTGTATTCTGTATTTTGTATTAAGTGAAAAGTAAAGCAATATGGATTTTGTATTTTGTAAAATTATGGAATTATCAGATAATCAATTAATCGATCTTGGATAACTAGATGAGAAATTTATCTTCACACCATCAAATAACTTCTAAATCGATATCATATAAATACTCCTAATAATCCTATCAGTTCATGAAGTTGAGAATTCATAAATTTCCTAAAATTTATTTTTTTAAGCAGGAGAGAGAATTTTATATTTATAAGGAAATAATTACATGATAAAAATATTTAAAAATTCTATAACTTCGTGGATTTCAACTCCGGATGATTTTATCCTATGTATATAGGTTAAAAAAATTTATTGGTTGAGATAATGTATTACTTTCGAAAAAAAAGAATAAAAAATAACTTTCCTGCATAGCTTTGCTGCATTTATAATTTAAAAAAATTCTGAAGGTGGAACATTCAGTTAATGCAGCATCAATCGTCAAATGCGCTTCTGAATTCTTCTTACATATACCCTACACACACACACACATTAAATGGAAGAAATCGGTCCTTCACATCTAAAAAATTAAATGTGTATAAATTTTTTTCCTTGCCAACAAAAATATGAAATTATCCTTTTCAGATTACAGCCGCCTGGTAAATTGAAACTTCTATTGCATTGATGGTCGGAAACATTGAATCATTTACAAAGTGTACAAATATCGTACACACACACAAACATACACGCACAATCACTTATAATTCATCCTCACATATTAATATTACCTTCAGTTCTTAATATAAGATCTTGTTTAATTTTTACTTTGATCTTAAATATAAGACCCGCATCTATTTTGCCTCTCATGTTTATACATTTTTCTGAAGGTGGTCTTTCTAATAATGATAGTTTTAACCAATACATTTGATTAGTAAGGATATTTTAGAAAAGACAAACATATTTATTATAAATAAATAACTTAACTTATTTTTTAATCTACTTAAATTAGTTAACTAGCTCTTATATTTAGAACCGAATGTAGTATATTAAATTCATAGAATTTTTTAAATTATTTCCACCCCTCTTCTCTTTCTTTTTTTTCGTTTTTAAAGATAATTAAATAAAAATGAAACTAGAAAATGATAATTAAATATCCTACAAGTCACTATATATTAAGAATACAAGTGGTATATCTGTGAATGAAAAACACTATATTAAGAATCGTAGTATCCCTGAACCAGAAGCCAGATATAAATCATATAAATGCCGGAAATTGCTTAGAAAGCAACAGTGAAAATAAAGAAAGAGTCATAGAGATAGGAGGAGAAGGAGAGAGAAAGAGGGACGCTATTTTATTAATAAATTAAGTTTCACTATAATGAGAAATCTTAAAAAAAAAAAGAAAAACTAAACAGATAATGTTCAGATGACCTACATATATATTCTATATTTTTATTGGGAATAAGGAAAATCCAAAATAATCCTAAAAAAGATGTGATTATAAGAAAATCCCCCGTTAAATCTTAATTAATCTGCGGAATGTTTTAAATATTCTTATTTAAATAATTCTAACTATATAAAATAATTTTTATTATATCTTATGCCATATTTCACCATGATGCCTGGGTGTTTGGTTTTTGAAAACATATTTTCTTTTGGCAAATTGAAACCCAACTCATCATGCAAGTCAAACAAAGCAACCCCCTGAACTCAATAATGTCTACTTTTCAAGCACGTAAATTTTCCACCAAAGACCTTGTTCATTCTTTGAAATTACTATACAATTCGTAGTCTTTCGGTGTGATTATAGGTACTCTTACAAGGCATAATCAATCAAATGTCATCCTAAAACTAACTTCCTCAAATTAAATTAGTCGCACAGCTTTTTGTTTGGTAGACTAATAATACTAGTGCATTTGAATTCAACTTAATCGCTAGTTTTGAACATTCAAACAAAATACTAGTGCAAATGAAATATTAATAATACAGTTAATTAACTGGATTAATATTGGAGGCCCCTGTATGTATTGTGATTTGGGTATGCCCAATAGAATTAATTCGAGTTGGCACATATTATCATTCATCGATTCAATGCAAAATACATATACCGCAAATAAGTTTCTTCAGGTCTTCCTTAAAAATACAAATCATGAAATTTTAGTTTGGGTTATATATTCTTTCAATTCTTAATATAAAACCTAATTAACTAATTTAAGTAGATTAAGAATGTTATTTACATTAGTTAATATAATATATATATTTTAAACACCCTAATCATTTTTTTTAATTCCTTCACTTCTTCTCTTGCTTGATTATTGTTAAGAAAGTATCAATAGGATTAATTTGAAAAAAATTGATAAACATGTAATATTAACTTTCAAATTGTGACACAAGTTAAGGACTCAAGGAGTATTACTTTTTATATTTTAATCATATTTTTCTATTACCAATTTCTCTCTCTCTCAATGCTAGTGAATTCATTCAAAGCTGAAAAGTCCTGGTCCAACTAGCCTACGTTAGAGAAATCGGTCCAATTCCTCTGATAAAAAATAATATTATATGGCAAAATTAGTAAGACCACGTGAAGATGGACGAAGACATGCACTAATTTATTTTGAACGCATATCTTCTTTCGGAATTATGTCATTTTCCTACAACTTCATCAAATTAGTTGGAAATATCACGTCATATTTATATACTCGCTGTTGTTTCAAGTATAAAGCCGATATGAGAGTTTTGGTTTGCTTTTAAATACATCAATAAGTCTTATTTCCTCTCGTTTCCTATAAGTGTTTATTTCTTATGCACTGCTTCTATTTATTGGGACATTTTTATTTCCAAATATTGAATTTAATCATTAAATAACAGCAGTCGTTTTGAAAAAAAAAAATTATTTACATATTAATTACAAACAATAAATTATTTTAACTACGTTTTTTCTATGAATTAGTTAACATAATTTTATATTTAGGAATAGTGGGAGCGCATATTTAGCCCGTGCGGCCAAGGGAAAAACTTCACATATATTATAAAAAATTTTCTTTCCTCATTATCAAAACTTTTACAATTAATCAGATTATTTATTAAATTTCAATATTTTAATTTCATACATAAAATAATAGTATAATTTTTATGATATCTAAATTAGGGTAAATGATGATGATGATGATGATAATCTCCTCCTTTTAAATGATACATTTTCACTGTATTAAAAATTCTCGCAGCATTCTTAGATTATGTCAATTTCCGTTAAAAATAAAAGGAAGAAAAAAAAAATACATGAGAAAACAATTTAAAAAACATGAATAAAACAAATATAAATTTGATATGCTTTTTTTGGTAACGTTTTTAACAAGTGACTGATTATATACTATGTTAACCAAAATAAACTATTGAAAACTAGCCTTAGTGTGTTTCTATATTTACACACACACTCCTCTGGTCCTTAATATATGACTTATTTAACTACTTTAATTAAATTAAAAAAGTTAGTTAAGTTAGATAATAATCATAAATATGACATATGTTTATCAAAATACCCTCAGTTAAAATTTCTTTAAGAAATTGACATTTCAAAAAATATTTTAAATTATTTTATTAAAAATATCAAACAGTAGAATTGATATGATGTATCTATGAAATTAATGGGTAATAAGTATTCACTGACTTTATAAAATATATAGGCATATTATCAATAAGTAATAAGTATTATTGTGATATTTAATTATTTAATAGGGGTAATTTAGAAAAAAATTGGTAAATATAAGAAATATGTCCTATATTTAGGTCTAAAATTAACCTTCTAATTAGGTTCTATATTGAGGACCAGAAAAGTATATATTGTTGTTGAAACACGTACGTTAGTATTATATTAATCAAATTTTACTATTAATAAAGGAAAAAAGGGCCATCAGTCTAGTATAAAAGCAGCACTTTCGCTTCTAAAACGACTAAACCCTCACTTCAGCATTAGTTTCCATTGTCATTATGGAGATTCAAATTCCATATTCCATCCTCTTCACCTTCTTCTCTTTGCTCTTTCTGGTTCTAATAAAGCCTTCAAGATTCAAGAAATCGAACAAACCCTTGCCCCAGGGGCCATGGAAGCTTCTTATTGTAGGAAATTTACACCAAATGGTAGGGCCATCACTTCCTCATCACATCATGAGAGACCTTGCCAACAAATATGGCCCCTTGATCCACCTTCAACTTGGACAAACCTCCAACATCATAATTTCTTCCTCAGAAATGGCCAAAGAAATTATGAATACACACGATCAAATCTTTGCCAACAGACCCATTTATTTAGTAGGCAAAATTGTTGGTTACGGTGGTCCTGATATTGGCTTTGCTCCATATGGACATCGTTGGAGGCAAATTCGAAAGATTTGTACGTTGGAGCTTTTGTCTGTAAAGAGAGTCCAATCATTCAGGAATATAAGGCAAGAACAAATGGGATCTCTCATGAAGTATATAACAGAACCTGAAGGTACTGTTATTAATCTTCATAAACAACTTTTCCCCAAATTCCATTGTTGCTCGTGCGGCCATTGGTAAGTGCAAGAATGTGGACGACGTTGTGATTTATATGCAGAAAACGATGGAGCTGTCTAGTGGACTTGGTGTTGAAGATCTTTTTCCTTCACTCAAATTCCTTCCTGTCATCACTGGTTTGAAGCGTAAGCTTGAGAAACTGCAGGAACTGGGTGATGGGCTTTTGCAAGAAGCCATTGCAGAACATAGAGAAAGGAATATAAGAGAAGGCAGGATGGCGATGATGAAGCACACCAGGAAGATCTTGTCGATGTTCTTCTCAGGGTCCAAAAGGAAAATGACCTTGACATTCACATTTGTGACGAC